TAACACTTCTAGCTCACAACTTTCACCTCAGCTACAATTAGTTCCTCCGAAACCTTCGCTCCAGCTAGATCATTCACCAAGTAACATTTCTTAGGGCAGTGAATCACTGCCTGATCAAGTCTTAGCTATAAAAGGAACCCTTCTTCCCCGATCTGATCTGACTTAACTTCAACCTTTCATCGTCATATTCTTCTTTGCAATCAAACTATAAGTTTCTACCATTTGGCTTGTCCTTTCCTGCAGAACAAAGTGTCAAAGATGCCCAGCCATCAGCGACAAAGCCTGTCCGAAGGCCCCTTCGAAGGTCTTGACATTCAACACGAGGACCGGCATCTTGGGCGGAACATTAGACAGATGATGTCGTCTACTCTGAGCAAAGCAACGTTTACCATAAACATGGGCGACGCTTACGACTACAACATTCTTCAAGAGAGCCCCGAACAACTTCACCAGGAGTTTCGCAAGTATGTTTCGGATGTCGCAGACGGATTGAAGCAGTCCAAGGACAATGAGACCGCTTTAGATGAATACATCACCGACGAACTCGCTCATATGGTTTATGGATCCAATATGATCGAGGTTGCTGGTGGAGGTGTCGATATCACAGTGAAGCTCTGCAAGGATGTCTTTCGAGGCAAAGAGGTCCCCGAAGAGATCAGCGAACGCGACTCGGACTACCAGGATCTCAAACTCCATCTCCTGAACAAGAACTTACCTTCTGGACATGCGGCTGTTCTACGAAGCCGCAGAGAGATCGTTCAGCATGCCGAAGCTGCGCGATACATGATCGATCAAGTTTGCATCAAGGGCAAGGACTTGTCTCACAAGATCATCGGCGAGACTCATGGTATCTTGACAGAAAAGATCGACCTTAATGGTACGCCTTGGCAGTATTACAGTGGCCAATACCGCACATGGAACGTGAGATGCGGTTCCCATGTCTTCATGGATTACAGTCAAGTCCCTAGAGCAATGCGCGATATGATAGATGAACTCGACTCCGACATCAAGGCAACCGAACAAGGACAATTTGACCCTGTCATACTTGCAAGCAAGTACTGCCACAAGTTTGTCAATATCCACCCCTTTGCAGATGGCAATGGTAGAATGTGTCGTCTTATTCTCAACACTCTCCTCCTCAAATACAGCCGAGGTTTTATCTGCATCGGGCAGGATGGCCAAGATCGACGAGAATATATGCGCATTACCATAGATGCAAGTGCAGGAGAAGCCTCACAGAGTCAAGGACCTGGCGCTGCGAACTACAAGCAGCTCGCATCTTTCACACTACGATACGCGCGCGACAGTATGCGCAAGGTTCGACAACTCTTCAAGCGGGACACTTAGAGTCCCATCATGACAGGATCATCGCTGAGTGGCAGTACAAGAGCAACGCTACCTCCAATGGTAAAATTATCTTTGCCTACCCGCTTGTATAGGGAGGAGGACATAGCAGAGAGGAGACCGCAGAGGAGGAAAGAGCTAGCAGTGGGCTCCGAGTTAGGAACAGGAGATTCTATGTAAATATCATGCGCTGAAAGTTGCTACGGTTGGTTGCGATTGATAAGCTTGCGAACGGTGATAATACTTGAGAAGGGGAGGATAGCAGGTTATATATTACAGATCAAGTTACGCTATAATACAATAGCAATACTACTGCAAGCCAGAATTGGTAAGAATATCTACTTGTTTTTCAAATTTACGGTAATACTTACACAAAGTCTTATTACTTGTATAATAATAATGATAATCTAAGCACGCCCTGGTTCCTTAAGGTCGCAGTGACCGAGACAGCACCAATTCATCTCCGATATGATCAGTGCAAGCATTGACGTAAAAGATGTTGCCACCAAGGAGCCTCAGGACTTCGAACTCACGCGACAAGAGCTCCAAGAGCTCCAAGAGCGTCTCTTCGTCCAGAAAGAAACGCTGAGGTCTGAAAAGGTCGACCAGCCCCGAACAGTCTGTACACACGATGACTGCATCGAGATTCGCACTGATATCGAAGGTAAAACAGACATTGCTACCACGATCTACAAAACCGCCTGCCATCCAGGCTGTTGCCTAAAAAGCGTCGATCGAAACAAGAAAGGTCACCCGGAATTACAGAAGTGCTGGGCAATGGAAGCAAACGGCATTTGTCACCAGTGTGGCCACTCCTGGATGGATCATATGCACATCTACTACACATATGTGCCAACGACCTACCAGCACCGAGACGCGGCGATAGACAGGGATCTGACCGAGAATGCTGGTGTCATACACCTTAAAGAGGAAGCCATCCGTATGAAGAAGGAAGCTATCCAAGAATTCCATTTGGAGTACCGACAGATCGAAGAGGCGGCGATTCAATTTGGCTTTTTCCTCAAAGACACGCCATCACCCCCCACAATGGCGCCACTGTCGAATACCTTGACATGCTCATCGATCAGGAGCGACAGAAAATGCAAGTCGGTGGATCAAAGCAGCGCCATGAGAAGCTCCAGAAGCAAAAGGCCGGTTATCTTCAGAAAGTGGAAGTGCTCGAGAAAGCCATGAAGCAGGGCGACGAGTCCGAACTTCTGGACGACAAGGGTGTGGCACAGTTGGTCGACAGTCTTTACGCACTGCCTCATTTTGGGAATGACCTCCGGAACATCGTCAAGATACAGGAGAGCGCGGCTGAGTCTTCGTATCGAGAGCGGTCTTACAATGTCTCAGGTGGAGTTGGCTTTCGTCGACGACGACGGATGAACCGGGCTCAGAAGGAGGAAGGCGGAAATGGAGATCATGGGGAGGGATCTTGGGCGGGTAACACCATTCCAGCTTATAAGTTATGAGCCGATCCCTGGCTCGTTTCCTGGGGAGCTTGATGGAGGTATGATTGGAGGCCAACCTGAGAGGCGTGTCGTGGTCGTGCATAGACCATCTCGTACTCGGGAACTCTGGAAGAGTTTCACAGACCTTTTCTAGGGCTGGTAAAGACGCCTTGCAAACTAGGGGTCGGCTAACCTAGATATCCGCGTTACTAGTTACGGATGGCAAGAGCTGGATACAGATATTGGCGTGTACTTCTGTGTCATTTTGACTTCTGAAGTCGAATATTAATCTAGCCTAGCGGGAATCACATACGCTGTCTGGGAGTTCTGAGTAATCTATGCGAGTGATTTTGATAACAGCCACCGTGGGTTGTCCCCAATACCTCATTGTCATGACCACGATGCTATTGTGCAGGACCAACAATAAATCTAAGCTCCACGATGAATCTCCCACTTTCCATGATAACATCCCCTCTGTGCTCGATATATTTCCCAGCCGCGTCAACAAGACCATAAACTTTCATCTTCTCCGGTACCTGAAAGGTTTGCTTCTCTCCAGTTTCTTTAATCTTATCACCACCACTACCAAAAGGCCCTAGTTTTCTTTCTGTGGTGTTGATGACCAAGTTGAAAATGACTTTCTTGGTAGCATCGTGAGCTAAAACTCCTGTATTCCATGACGCATCTGTGATCAATTCGTCATCGTCTAGAAAGATCGACTTCTTGCTGTGGCCGAAACCTCCGAAGTGAATACCATCATAAGCCGCAGTCTCGGCATGAAGAGAATCCACGGCGAATTGGTACGAGACATCGAGTCTGATGATGTTTGAAGGCGCTGCTTTTCGCAGTTCGAAAGCATGATTCGTAAGATCCGGTTCATCGCTCATATATTTCTTTTGGTAGATCCTGTCATAGTCTCCCGCCCACTCCAAAGCTTGATCGGCAACACTGTCAAATGTCTTGATCAAGGACTCAACGGCCGTGATAAGCTCCTTGTCTATATCAAAAGATTTCTGAGTCGAACGACCCTCGACGTATTTGTTCGCCTTGCTTGTAAGGTTGGAGACCGTGTCAAAAATCGCTTTCATCATAATCGAATGTGCACATGCGTCCAGTCGCATAGCCGCGAGCTTGTGAATTGTTTCCGTACAGTCTTCGTAAGGCAATTCACCACAAGATAGCTCAAGTTCAATGATGGGTGCATTGCAATTTCCATTGCCTCGTAGGAACCGGCTCATACGAGCCCATGGAATTGCCTGAGATGATTGACGGTCTCTGTCAAGACGAAATAGTGAAGCGACGGGCATTCGGACATTGACGGGGTATTTATCCGCAGCGAGGCCAAGTGTGCAGCCGACATAGTACAAGAGTTTTGATGATCCAGCACATTCGTGGCCAAGCCCAATGAGCGACGCCAGAAAGAACCACTGCGTGAACGATAGAGACTTGCCGACGCTCTTGGGGCCGTGATATTCGAAACCGCCATCGAAGCTCATGTTGTTGAAATCGCCAGATAAGCCGATAACCTGATCCCAAGTTTTACCTTGAGCAGTGGCGATGATTGACACTGCTCTGAACAGTTCTTTTGCTCTCGCCTCACAGGCTGTAGCATGCATGCTATACTGGCCATAGTAGGACTTACACTGTTGTGTCAAGCCAGTATATCGTTGGCCACGCTCGAATGTGCCCATCTTCAATTTTGCGAGGGTGCCTTCTCAGAGAGAGAAGTAAGAAGAATTAACGTTGTTTTGAAAATTTCGGTTCTTGTTTCTCCCTTGCTCTCTCTATCTCTGGAGAATCTGCCTAACTCAGCCGCAGCTGAGAGCGACCAGCCCTAGCAGTCAAACTATGGCTTTTTGTCACGGATGTAATTGGTGAAGTTTTCGCTAAGAGCACCAGTGAGGAAGAGGATCAAGGCAACCCCTCATTTGTGCTGTTGTGCCTGGCTTCAGCAGCAATAAATCACCGCCATTATTATTCACCAAGTTGCGCTTCCTGACCTTTTCGGAGTATAGGGATTAATGCAGCTCAGAGTTGTGTCAGCTTTTATTTTACTTTCATTTGCCAAATATCAAAATCACATAAATCATCCAACATAAACCTCATCTCACTCCTCCAACAGCGACGACCAAGCATATCCAACTTGACTACCATATAAATCCTTCAGACTTGAATTGAGTGATCTTGACCGTAGCGCTGAGCAATCCCACGGGGAGTTTTTTCTGGCGAGCACTTGCGACCCTTCATATAGTGCTCCGGAGTCGTAGTTATCTCAAAGTCTCCCCATTTCTTCTCTTCCCTGCGATCAAGCAGCGTGACCACCAACTTCTCCCTCTGCTTGCTAAGCGCACGCATCGACTTCATGAACTCCTTGTTCTGATCGTCGTTGGTGATGATGATCTGCTTGAGACCAGGAGCCCACTCTGGATGTTCACAAAACTCATCGAAGGCCTTCGCAGTGATCTTGGTCAAGCCGCATGAGCTGGTGCTGGACGGGGTGATCTCGAGGAGTCTGAGGTCTCGGCAGTTGGAGAGTACGCCGAGGAAACCAGCGTCGCCGACATTGTTTGCGCTGGGGAGACTGACGGTTCTGAGGTTGGGCAGGCCTTTAGCTAGACGAATGACGGCTTCGTTGGTGAGGTTGCGGGCACCGTTCTTTGCGGTGTAGCTGACGTCGCTGAAGTTGAAGATGAATTGCTAGATCTTTTCACGAACTTGACGTGATAAGACCAAGATGTTGTCGATATGGTCGCTGTTGACGTGACGTTAGCACTCTTCTTAAATCGAACTGGATGAATTGGCTTACTCAGTCAAGACGAATTCATAGCCAAAGTAAATCATTCTGGTTGATGTTCCAATGAGGTTATGGTATTTGCCGTCCCAGTCAGCTACGCTGCTTCTGAAACGGGCCTCTTTGACGCCTTTGACGACAGGCTTCAGCAGCCGCTTCTTGGGCGCGTCTGTGCCGGGAGCTGGGGCATTAGCGGCCGAGTTGCTCTTCTCAGTTCGGATGGGAGGCATGATGAAAATATGGAGAATGTACTGCCTGTGATAGAGACTAAGAGCGCAAGATCATAGAGCAGACGTACTGTCGGCAAGGTACGGAGGTTTAATTGAGTGTTAGGGGAAAGGCTGGGCGCGGCGCGTCGCGAAGGTGGGGTGCAAATCTAGAGTTTAGGGTGGCTGGCATGGATGCCATATGTCATCTGCCAACCCTGATAGCTCCGATAGGTACGCAAGAGAAATAATTAGTGCCGCCCAGTATCAGACCAATTGAAAGTGACGACGTCTGTATGAACTCTTGAAATCTGAAGATACACGAAATACAAGATTGAAACAGATATAAGGTGTTTAGCATTTGGGCTTGACAATAGAGATCTCAGTAAGTGTAGTGGAACCTCGGGTTATGCTCTCCAAGCTCCTCAGCTTCCTCCTCTGTCAATCCCTGAATCCTGTAATCCTCCTTGCCCTCAACCTTTCTCTTGTTCTGACGACGGAACCAAGCCCAGAATGCCATGTAGATCAGTGAAGACATGGCGACCAAAGCCATAGAAATAGCGTGGCCCTTAACGAAGCGAGGGCCCTCATGGGTTTTGTACAGCTGATTTCGTGTTAGCTGAGATTCTCTTTAAGGGTATGGCTGTACTTACGAAGGGTGCTGGGATTCCAGCAGAGTTGCCAATGGTGAGCTGTAGACCAGTGGCGACAGTACGCTTTCCATAGCGAGGATTGTTGCTAGGAAGCCAAGCAAGAGGCAAACCAACAATGACATATAATCCCATGGCGGCCAGGAAGCAGCCAAAGTATCGAACGCCAGATGGAGCTGGACTGACGAGCAGAGCGTATCCAATAGCGCAGACAAGACCAAGGATAACTGTAAAGACGGCTCGTCGTTGAGTTCGATCAGAGAACCATGCCACCACAAGATAGGTGATAGCACCCATAGCGTAGCAAGGGATGGTAAGAGCCTGGACCTGAGCCGTGTTCCAATCTCCCAGTCCTCGAATAATCGTTGGCAAAAAGGTGCTGTATCCGTAGAGAATAGTATCTCCTCCGAACTGTCCAATGCAGAAAAGCCAGATTTTCCAATCCTTAAGACCAGCGTAGACATCGGCCTTGTGCATCTGATCCGAAGACTTGGTATGACCGATCTGTCGTCGCATGCGCGCATCGATGAGTTCGCGTTCGTTGATGGTGAGGTAATGAGCTGAATCGGGGTCATCTGCAAGCCAGAACCAAACAGCAATTCCAAGGACAAATGTTGGAATTCCTTCGATGATGATAATCCATCGCCAACCCTTTAGCCCAGCTACGCCATCCATGTGACCGATACCGTAAGCGAGAAGACCACCGAGTGAACCTGCGATGGCGGCGCTGACGAAAAGATAACCGATTCGGAGAGCGTATTCGCGCTTGGTGTAGAACATGGTGAGATAAATGGTGAGACCCGGAAAGAGACCGCCCTCAAGAGCACCAAGAATAACGCGGCATGCGACCAGGCCCTTGAAGTCTTGAACGATACCGGTGAGTGTGGCGACGATACCCCAAGCTGTGGTGATGAACGCGATCCATCGCGAGGGTCTGAATTTCTTGATGACGAGGTTGGATGGAAGTTCAGAAGCGATGTACGTGACGAACAGAACAGAAACTGCAAGTTGATACTACATCTGTCAGTACAATCAGCGAGTCTTCATCGGTGGGGACTCACCTGATCGCCAACTAAACCCAGATCCTCTTCCATCCCATAGAGACGCGCATTACCAATATTCACACGATCCAGAAAACTGAGAAGGTAGAGCAGCATCACAGGCGGAACAATCCACATATCAAGCTTTCTCAAAAGCGCCTTCTCAGCAACAGGATCGATATAAATCTCATCCTGAGCAGTGCGCTGCTCCTCAATCTCCTTGTCAGGAAGGATATCCGGCTTTGAAGTCATAGTGGCGAATCTCTTTTGTTTACCCCAAGATTGACGAACGAGTTTGAGATGATGATGATGGAGAAAAATTGAGAGACGGGACCCAGTTCAATTTAAGAACGAGGAGGAGTCTCTTATCTCCGCACAGAGGTTTACCCCGGATCTTGGAGAGGGATTTGTATTTGGTAACAGGAACTATCTTGGTGCTGTAACCCCAGAATCATCACGGCAGGGATTTGGCGCCAGGGATCGGCTGGTTGACCTGCCTGTCTTGGTGGAGATGGCGTCGGGAGTGAGGGGTTTGCCGATGGGGACATGATTCAGGGAACCGGCAACTTTTGACTTGCCGGGCTGCTTCTAGAATTGGTCTAGATGCCGTGGAACGTCATTTTTGTTCAGCTCGGCTGTTGAGAAATTACCTTGTGTTATCGGCATCGATTCACATTTGCTCTTGTTTATCGCCGTCAGTGTGATATTGGTTGATTGATTGATGAGACTCACGTATTGCAAGCTGCCAGCAATGTGGTGTGTTTTATCTATCCGGCACAACTTATCTTATCCTGCTATCTTCGGCGGTTCCACAGTAAATGCATGGAACAATCATGGAACGTTAATGATCGACGTCTGGGCGACGCTATCATCGGGAGATAAGATATCACGCATTTACACGACCCGCTTCAAGTTTCTGTTGCATTTAACGATATGACGTCCATTCTTATCCTGTATTTGGCAAATTTCTTGCTATAAATCTTAATAGCGAAAATATTACCAGTTATGATAAGTCGGGGCTGGAAGATACGCTTTCAGTGATGGGTCTCAATGGCGAACGACGCCAGTCCTGTTTGATATGCATCGCCAAAAGACTAAAGCACAAGGAGACTGTAAAGTTTTGTCTTGACACAGAATACCATGAGTACTAAATCTCTTTTACAATTTCTCGTGTAAAGTCAGACTCTCAGTTGGCCATGAGTTACGAGAAAAGCTTGCGTTGAATTATATCATAGTTTAACATTTATGAGGCCGTAGTTCTTGTCGAGGCTTGAGTGGAGGGAATGAGTACATGGATTTGAGGTATCGGTACCTCTTCTACAGTGAGACATTCCAGCAGATTGAAGTATCTCTTTTGTCCCTTTTCGCATTCGAAAGTTTGTGCCCAATCAGTGTCAAAAATTTAAAGTTGGATTACACCGTAACGACTGGCTAGGAAGACATGTGACTTGGGTCACTCGATGCATCGAGTCGCAAGGCAAAACGGATTCAACAATGAGATCTCCTGGTTTTCGAATTGTATTTTGGCTGTAGAACCCTGAACATTGCCGCTGCGCCAGATCAGAGAGCGTGTCTTCGCGGAAGGCACGAAGATACTTTATCACGGGATCACGCTGTTAGCACGGTACTTCGTCACTGTCAACGTTCGCGACACTTTGAAAGCCTTGAAAATGATCAAAGACTAGAATAAAGTAAAATAAATGATGCGCAAAGTATGAGCAAAAAGTGGGAGCCATCACTGGACATCCCGTCTGCCATACTTCAAAGACCACTGTGCAGACGCCCTCAGACGTGGTTTATCCAAGGGACTCGAACCCCCTTAGCATAGCTCTTGGCCTCAGCTGGACTGTATAGTATTCTTCATTGAGTTGGAAACTGCTGCGCTTTTACGACTTAAATACCCATTTCTGATGTTATATCGGGCAAGAGCTTGAGGTCATGGTGGGTTGTTGGCTACTTCCTGCGTTGCGAGGTGGACTGCGGGACAACCGGATGACGAACGCTATCCCGCCGTGGCTGGGATGCGGAGCGACGTGAAGGCCACTGATGGTATTTCAGGAAACCGAAAACAAGGGCTAAAGACTAATTTAAGTGTGGGACGAGAATTGACAGGCAATCCGAAATTTCAAAGAACTCTTTTATGCTCGGAGCGAACACGTGATTGGTCAAGGACACGGAACAACTTAAAAATCTAGGACATCTACACTGGAAATTGGCGTCTAAGCATCATATATGTGTAAATCATTTGCCATTGAGATGAGTGGCGTGTGGCACATGAATCTAATGTTAGTCAAGGCGAGAACAGATCAGACAACTGCGTCATGCGTGAATTTTACCAGAAACATCAAAGTATAATCTTTAAAGACTAACCTTCAACAAAGGTTCAGACTCCGAAGCTTTTACCTATGCTCTTTGGTGGCTTAGAGATGGGGAGAGGTGTATATAAAGTGCTTCCTATCCCCCTCGCACGCACAGGCAATTGTGACAATCGAACCCTCTCAACAGCTGGACTGTGTGGTATTAGGAACTGTGATGAGATGTCCAATCAGTGGCAGTATCTGTCGATCCAGTCTATGTTAGGCTTGGAAATCAATGGATTAGATCTGAGTTCCTGGTAACCTGCACTCTTCTAAAGTATTCTGATTCCTTGCCACGCATTGAGAGAATTTCTCACACGGCAGTAAGAGTACCATTTCGAGGCTCTAGCTTTCTACTTATGGCATACCTGAGGAAAGACATGCCAGAAAAGCCTCAACTGAGATAGGATGACTGATCGGCACGAGCGAAGCTCCTGGATTCCTTTCTTGTGAAACGAAAGTTCGTATTCGCAAACGCTCCAATTCCAGCTACATCAATGCCGACATCGCGCACTAACCCGTACAGAAGTCGTGGCATCTGCCTACAAGTCTCTCAGGCTCCTGGTTCGGCAACTTTTATCTTGCCGTGCGAGAGCTAAGCATATCACTCACTAATCTAGCGAGCCAGTATCGAATAGCAACCTTGGAAGCCCAAGGCTAAGACGCTCACCCTGGAACAAAGGATCTGTCTAAGCTGGTACTGGCTTAGTAAACGGTCACCTTTAATTATCCTGCAAAGTTGAGGATGATGGATTTCGAAACGAATACCCCTTATAATGTGTCGACTCTCATTTCCTTAAGCCACAACTGATCACGCCGCGCCCCCTTTCTCACTATCCCCATTTGTCTCACCCCATGCTTTAGCGATTTTATGCTTCCTTCCATCCAGCAAAGCCTGGTCCCTGGGGACATACCTATCCCCGCCTGGCATTCTAGAGTCCGTGAAACCCCGGATGGCCGTGAACGAACGGCAGACATGGCGTTGATCTGAGTCGATGTAATTATGCTCAAGGCCCTCCATGAACCGTGTGGGTATCAGAGTTGTACTTCCATAGCATTGAACCGTTTGGCGGAGTATTTCGATACAATGTTCTTGTATAAGAGTTAATTATCAGTCACCAAGAGGGATGTGTCGCATATTGAGATACTTGCCGTTGTGAAGCGCTCCATGGAGCGTATGAGACTTTGGGGGATAGTACTCGGGACGTAACGCCTTGCGAAGTTCGTTCTGTTTCATCAGTGCTGATGCTGATGATCAACCCGGGGCTCAAGGCTTACAATGCAGTGCAACGTATGAAACATGTCGAACCTAGCAACCATGAGTTTAATAACAATCAAGGCTCGCTGGTAGTTCATACCCAGCTGTATAGCCTCCCATGTTCTGATCTACAAACTTATGTCGTTTGTCTCCCCAGGCTCTTCTAGCCTCCTCTTCCGAAATTGAGAAGTAGCGTTTGCCGATGAGCCTCTGCCAGTTCTCGTCAATTTGGTGGCTTGGCTCACCGACGTATCTTAAATTTTCTGGCCATGGTGCTGTTTCGTCTGGATCTTTCATCCAGGGTGTACCATTGTTGTAAAAGTGCGGACTGCCCCGAAACTGTACTTCCTCAAGAGGGATCCGTATTGGTAAAGCTGATGTGACAAGGTCAGTATCTTGAGGGAAATTGCGTTGAGACTGGCTTACAGAAGTCAGTCTTGAACATTGTTTCATACGATCCGAATTGGGATTGAGCGTGTAGTTTTGCAGCGAGAAGGGCTGTCCAAATCGCGAATATTACTGTGAGTATCCAAGGTAGCAAGTAAATGATAAAGCATGAAAGTTTCCATCTTCGGTGCTCCTTCAACCCAGCTTCAGTAAGTTCTGAATCTGAAGCACCCTCATAATCCAGAGAATCTGTCTCTTTGGTTTGAACAGGGGCATATTCCCCATCTGATGGTCGTGTCAAGTGATGCATCAACAGAGTTCGTTCGGGGGGACGTCAAGATCGGGGTTTTCATGAGGTGCTCCACGTAGAAGTTATCATGGCTGACTCTTCCAGGTCTTCACATAGCATTTTCGAGGAATAGTTGGGGGACAGGCGCATCCCTGAAAGCTTCGTGTAGACGACAAGTGTACGAAGGATTATCCAATTGGTCATCAACTTTCAAGGTTCCGGATTGTGTGATCATCCTGCCAACATGCATAAGAGCCGTCTGGCCCCCACGACAGGATTATAAAGACCCTCGGCAAGAACGGCAATTGAAAGTAATGCTCAACAGCGGATATTCTGCAGATTTCATAATGACTTCCGAACAAAAGGTCCCTGCCCCTCCATCCTTCGAAAATCTCACTCCCGATGGGGTACTAACCGAGACCGAAAACATCCTTACATCAACCTCAGCTCTGCATGACGATCTTGCCGCTAGATTCACACCCTCAACCGCAACCTTCAACAACTTTATCCGCCCCATTGTTGATGACACCAACCGCGCCGCATGTCGCCTGCGCCTTTTGACGACGCTCCTCGGACAGCTATCGCCCGACAGGGAACTTCGTGATGCCGCCCATAAAGCAGAAACACGTGTCGCGGCAGCGCAGGTCAAGATCCTAATGCGACATGACCTTGCATCCCTAGTGGGAGCGATATACGAGAGAGAAAAGACGGCGCCGGATGGGAACTTGGATGGACAAGATCGGCATTTGCTTACTCGCATGCATGGCGAATATCTACGCTCTGGGTCGTTTTTACGAGGTGACAAAGAACGGGAGGAGCTCCGGGCTGGTCTGGAGGAGATTGATCGTGTGCGATCTGCCGCTCAAGCTGCGTTCACGGAAGATGAGGGTGGTATCTGGTTTGACCGCGCAGATCTGGCGGGCGTTCTAGAGACTATGCTTGCATCCATGCCTCAACACGGGACTCGGGTCCAAGTGACGTTCCGAAATGCCCATGTCACTGCAGTGATGCGTCACGCAGTCAGCAGCGAGACTCGTCGCCGGTTCTCAGTTGCTGACCAGAACCGACTCCCCCAAAATGTGACCCGCCTAGCTTCTCTAGTCGCCTTGCGTGATAAGGTTGCTCGTCTTCTAGGGTATGAACACTATGCGGCTCTCAAGATCGTGGACAAGATGGCTCCAAGCGTTGACTATGTCGAAGCTCAGCTTGATGATCTACACAAAAGGCTAAAGCCACTTGCACAGGCTGAGACTGACAGATTGATTCAGCTGAAGCAAAGGGACTACAAAGAGCCTGTTAGTGAACTATACTCGTGGGATAGGGCGTATTATATTCATAAGCAAACTCAGGAGAGTTTCTTTGTGGATCACGAGCTCCTTGCCGAGTACTTTGAGGCCAACCACACTCTTCAAGGGATGCTCGGTGTGCTCAAAGAGCTCTTTGGCATCGACTTCAGGTCTATCGTGACTTCAGTATGGCACGAGAGTGTCGTGGCATATGAAGCCTGGGACATCCCAAGTGAGGGAGGCAAGTTCTTAGGGCACTTATACGTAGACCTCTTTGATAGAGAGGGTAAATATGGTGGGGCACATCATGTTCTAATTCAGCCGGTAAGTTTACTTGCAATGTTCTTGTATATCAAACTAACGGCTAGTTCAGGGTTTCGCCGAAGAGAACGGAGAGAAACACTACCCGGCATCGGCATTGGTGTGTAGCTTCGCTCGTCCGTCGCAACATCGTCCGGCACTACTTCAGCATAGCGAAGTAAAGACCATGTTCCATGAGATTGGTCACGCTATTCACAACATCGTGACCAGAACCAAGTATGCCATCCCTCACTCGCGAGATTTTATTGAAATCCCGAGCATCATGCTTGAGAACTGGATATGGCTTCCAGACGTGTTAATTCAACTTGGTCGTCATTACAAGAGCCAGGAAGCTCTCCCTCGAGAACTTGCTGAAAGTGTTGCACAAACGAGAAATACTAATAGAGCTAATAGTATCCTGGCTCAAGTGCAACCAGCTGTCTTTGACCTGGCGATTCATACTCCCCCAGCTCATAAAGCAGCACTTGAGATGGATACAACTGAGATATGGAACAGAACGAAAAGGGATATCCTCACGCATAGCTTAGGACCAGATCCACAAGATTGGGGGGCTGGACAGGCAAGGTTTGCGCATATGTTTCGCAAGAATGATGGTAGTTATTTTGCTTATCCACTATCAATGGTCATTGCGGCAGATCTCTTTAGTTCTAAGTTTGCAGGAGACCCTTTGAGCCCCGAGATGGGGAAGAAATATAGATATCAGGTGCTGGAGCCGGGGTCAAGTCGTCAGGAGATTGATATTCTCAAGGACTTCTTGGGGCGGGAGCCGAGTAGTAAGACTATTATAGATGAGCTCAGTCCTGGTAATGAAGGCTGAGACGTGTCAACATGGAATATAAGAGTTAGTGATCATCTCGAAGGGAATACAAGATTATGTAGATAAGTAGGATGAAGATTTGGGAGGCCGTATTTGGTTGGTATATGCACCAGACGGACCCCAAGAGTTTTAATAGGCTAATATTAGGACCGGTTCCCCAGCTTATGTCCAAGGTTCTCCCACATGTCAAGGCCGTCTTTTGAACCCCAAGTCAATCTTTCCTCCAACACTGTATTTTCCAGGTTCTATAGAAGAAATCTTAAATCATGACCGGCGGTGTTTTACTCGGCGAACCAGAGCCTAAACCAGCCATGAATTCCCCCAGAGGCCATGGCAGGCTGATTCATCTCTTCAACCATGCTCGAAACATCGGCGTCTTCCTCTTACCAAGCTTCATAACCCAAGGTTCAGCCCTGAAAGATAGTCCACAGGCACGACCATCATATTCCCCAACACTATATCTCGATGGACTTCGTGGACTCTTCTCTTTTCTGGTCTTCCTTCGCCACTTTCTCTTACCTTGGGATGAAGGTCTCGACACTGGGTTTGGCCAAAATGGCAACATGTCTTTTATGAAGCTCCCCATTATCAGACTTCTCTATGCTGGACCTACAGTACCTATCTTCTTCATCGTCTCGGGGTTTGTGCTTGCGTACAAGCCACTTAAACTCATTCACAAGAAAGACTACAGCGCTCTCGGGTTGCACACCATGTCTTCAGTGGTGCGTCGACCATTTCGACTGTTTTTGCCTCCTTTGGTTTCAACATTCATTGTTGTAATTGCAGTGAGTGTTGGACTTTACACGGCTCCGTACCAAGATATGCCGGGCTGGGTACCCAGACATCCAGAGCGACTCAGGTCATTGTGGGCGCAGATTGGTGATTGGATGCGTTTCGTGGTCGTTGACCTGACGCATCCATGGAGTTGGAAATCACCAATGTCAAAATATGACAGCCATCTATGGACAATTCCGATCCAGTTTCGCGCCTCCATGATTGTCTATCTCACACTTCTCGCTTTGGCGAGAGCCCGCGTCTGGGTTCGCGGTACAGCACTCCTCTTCTTATGCCTGTATTCACTTCAGCAGGAAAGATGGGAGATGTATCTATTCTTCGCTGGAGTCTTCCTCGCCGAGAGGAGTCTTCAGAGACACCATGATGGAGGGGCTCTACCGGCCGACGGCGGCGAGTCTGCCATGAATCAACCTCCATTACAGCCTTCAGCTTGGTCGGGGCTTGTCCAGAAATTTGTATTTCTGTTCGGACTATACTTGAGCTCATACCCTCGAGCCAGAAATGCTGGTTTTTCTACACCTGGCTACGTTTTGCTATCATCACTGACAGATCGATACATCTGTTGGCAATCCTACGGTGCGACTCTAATCTGCTGGTCTTTGAGTAGAGACAGACTGCTCCAAAAACCTTTCAGGTCACGTCCTTTTCGATATTTGGCAAAGATCTCATTTACGTTGTATCTAGTTCATGGTCCTGTTTTGCATCTCTTTGGGTATTCTATGGTTCCTGCAATCCAGAGTTTGACAGGTAGTTCTACTACGTGGCAATATCAGTCAGGGCTACTACTAACCCTCGCAGTGTTGGCCCCTGTGGTTGTGTGGATTGCAGACGTATTTTGGAGAGCGGTGGATAAGCCCTGTTCTGTCTTGGTTATTCGTACCATAGAGCCCTTCTTTGTAGACTAGAACGAATTGAGAGCTTGTAAATAGCCTCCATGCTCCGGTGTTTCCTCTGTAATAGGCATATTATGACACTCCCAAGCTTTGGCTGACGTCGCCGCCAAACCTCCCCTGTCAACTTCGGCTTCTGCCGGCCGCTGACATGCAGTAGTTGCCGCTTGATCCGTGACTTATTATCAGATAACATAAAAGGTGTAAAGCGAGGTGATCGTCATCGGCTTGAATTACATAATTCCGCCCCCAAGACCTTTTGAAAGCTGTGGGTAAATGGCGATCTTTGGTTACCGCTACGAGTATTATCTCGCGCTGTGTGACAGGCATTGCGATTTTCGTCCGCTTTAGGCCATTTAAACGTCGCCGGATGCATGCTTTACATACCCTGTCAACTCTGTCGATCTCTGAGGGCTCATTGCATAACGTCCATTGGCTCACACATAAGGGTTCAGCCGACACTCCGTGAGCACGTAATCCTGGTAAATTATCACATTATCTTTGATTTATCTGTGTTCAATAGCGGTAACAAAGGACCTCCGACTCAGTTGCCATTACTTCATGAATCCGGACTGGCTCTGACAGGTTACCCAGCGAGATAACATCATCCAAGCTGGATCCTGACAGGGACTCGTTGGCGTGTACCCTGATATTCTGTCTAGGACCCTGATAGGTCTTGGCCCTACTTTCGATATCTTGCTGCTGCCATAGCCACCATAATCGATCTACCTGGGCGTGATGCAGATAGAACACAGGATCTACAAGAGTGTCAGAATAGCTACTGTACAGAAGAGGCAACAGTGATCTTACCATTCGGTGCGGTTAGCCCGTAAAAGTCCCCTCGCACAAACTGAGGTATCGAATTGTGAGCTTGAATTTCAAGCGCATCAACAAATTCTTCGTATGATTGGAGGCTCAGCACGCTGTTGATGGCGTCGATCGTAACTCGAGTCTCTAACTTGACCTTCTTCTCGCCCCATTGGAATCCTCGGCTGAGGCAATGAGGATTCCTCAAGATATCGAATCCATGTCCATTGGACTTTGATTGCCAGTGGCGGGTTGCATTCGCAAAAGGGCCTTCGGTAACACAATGGCCCCCAAATATCTCGGTTAAAGTGCTTCCGCCTGTACCATTACCACCGAAGCCATCTATAGGATCAAAGATCGGAGAGGCGGCTAGGTCATGGGCGTCTAAGGCCCAGTCCCAGTACCTATGTCAAAGAAGTTAGTCGATCTGCTCATGCCAGGATAGGAATATGTCAGACTTACGGCAAATATCCCTTGAAACCACACTCCTCTATCAGTGCCTTTTCGTATGTGTGGATAAAGTATCGGTGCCAGGGGAGGAACGAAGCGGCATAGTGAGTGGCTGTGCCTTCAAAGACATGCATATATGCAAAGTCATCGTAGCGACTACTCCCCGGCTCAAAGTGCGATTCTTTCTCAGTCAGACAGACGACAGCGCTGATGTAGTCTTGCTTCTGTGTTTTGTTCAGATCCCTCCACTCCATTCGTCTCGCCGGGCGTATACAGCTTTTTGGAGCTGTCGTCCATGCGATTCCCCAAGAAATTATGATTCCAAGGAATAAGACTGCGGCGAGGCAGATGCTGATGAGACACGATTTAGACCTGGAACCGCTCTCTTTCTCGACGTCTCTGTGCTCATGTTAGCAAGCTGGTTGAAATCTCTAAGGTATTGTGTGAAACTTACTCTCGCTCGTGATTTGCCAGTGGCTGATACCTCCAACGTCGAGGCATGACATGTGAAGCTTTTTCGTAGAGTGATTCCATGATACCTAAAGTTTTACTCAAGAGGAGGAGGTTCAGTAGAGAGAACTGCAAATTGGGCTTTGTTCTACAAGTCGTTGAAGGACTCAAGTCGGCATGGTTTTGATATCTCATGCCATGACATGAGCACTGAGTGCCGCCAGTGAACTAGGTCAATCAACCTGGGCTACTGTGCCACATCATTCAAATTCTAGATATCTCAAACGTCGTCATCAGGCCGCTTTCCTCTTACCGCAGGGATCTGCCAGGGTAGAAGGGGGTGGATCAAACCAAGCCAGACCCCTCCCCAGTTGGACATTGGGGGCCTTTCCATTCACACACTTGACAAAGCTCAACCAAAGACGCTAGATCTTTGCACTTAGTTCTTCCAGTCGATCGGCTCTTGAGATGCTCCCCAACTGCCTCTGGGTTTTCCATCTCCGTTCTCCTCACTACGGACAGCATCATGACATTCAACAAGGAGATGGAGCAAGACGCCTTGCTATCAGAAGAAGCAGACAGATCCTCATTCTCTGATCCAAATATTGAGTCTCAAACAGAGACGCATATTCTTTTACAAACATCCAGAAAGGCTGCTTGTTCAAAACTATTCTTGTGGCAAGCCATTCTTATACACGCAGGCATCTTGATCATCTATACCATATTGTTACTACTCATCGTGGTTCCTCTCTGGGAATCTCGTGAAAGGGAAGTCGCATATAGTAAGTTCTCATCCCAACTTACCACTTTCCATCTCACACGCAGTCTTATTAGTCCCCTTCAATCCTGGACCACAAGCCCAAGTCTTCCGGCATAAACACTCGGTCTATGTTGGAAAACCATCACCTGAGCTAGATAAAGCTTGGAAGAAAATGCTCAAGAGTCATACCTTTCCCTTCACATTGACCTTCATGTAGACTAATATCTCATCAGACTCAAATATCCGTATTACAGAAGATGAAATGAGCCATATACCGGGCAGAAAGGAGCAAGCCATTAAACTGCCTGATGGAGGTTATTTTGCGACACTCAACGTCTACCACAACCTTCACTGCATTGTATGTGACATCTTGAAAGTTGTTCAAAAATATTAGGTTTTCCAACATTAATTTACTTACAGAAACGCCTTCATCATTACATGTATCCAGATTACTACTTCCCCAATATCACGGAAGAACAAAAGAGGGCGAATGAGTATCATAACCGTCAGTCTATTTTCACCTTTGCTCCATTTTCTCACTAATTGAACGTCTAGATCATTGCTTAGATATGCTCCGACAGAGCATCATGTGTCAGGGCGACATGCAGCTTCTGACGATGAAATGGCGAACGGATGGTCGTATTCCAACTGCAAACTTCACATCGCCTCATCAGTGCGTTAACTGGGACAGATTGGAGGAATGGGCAACTAGTCGGAGGATAGTAGATCTAATGGAGCCTGGATACTTAAATCATCCAACCTTGGGGCCAGCATATCCTGGTGGTCATGGAGATCTCATTGGAGAGTTTCTAGGACATAGTAATACCTCGACCAGTGAAGATGAAGTTCAATAGCTTCTCAAGATAGACATCAATAGATTGGAATATTCCTAAGAGATATGGTAATATCGTATTTGAAGTTGAGATGTGATATTCTACTCCTGAATCGGCATAGACACCACTTGGAACTGGCTTCCTATTCCTTGATCGTGCGAGGTTTACACTGAGCCACTCAAAGCTAAAATCAAGCAATTAAACAAAAACTGATCAATGATCTCACAAAGGGTATTCTGAGGTGTCCTACTATGTTCCAAGTTTACCTAAATCTACCGACCTGCTTACCCTTGGCCGGTTAAATGCTAAGAAAGGATCGGCCTGCCTTGCATGTAAGCTTACAGGAGTGCTTCTAGACATATGCGAACTGAGATCAACTCCCCGTCCAATTTTTATGATCGGCAGTTACTGGAACAAGGGATACGCCAGATGCTTGTCTATCACAGATGCCGGATTGCCGAGATATATTTATACATGGTGTAATCCCCCAGTAGCTGCATGCACACACCCAGCATGGATTCAGATCCCGCCCCCAACTTTATGCATTCTTAGGACTTGGCATTCAACTACACCACTGCGGACTCGTGTTCCGTTTCAGAAGATCTACACAAGAGTCTTTCCAAGTGGTAAGTGACGAAGTCCTTTCGTTGCTAGATGTTCAGTACGTTCGATCCCGCAACGCTTTCCGTACATCTGCATCTTTCAGTCAGGGCTACTCGGTCTACCCACATAATACAGAAACATAAATAACGGCAGTGTGCCTTGAAGATCCAGCAACTACTTCCAAGCTCTAACTCCATTCTCATATACAACACAAATCTCATCATGCGCTTCTTTTCCATCTTGTCCACCATGACCCTTGTGGCATCAATCATGGGTGCCGCTATCCCCGCTCCGGTTGAGGAAAACAACATTGAGGTCAAACGTATGATACTCTGAAGGACTGATATCTACCATAAGCCTAGCTAATATGAGTTCTAGGTGCTGAGGGACATGAAGATGCTAGCCTACAGAAGCGTATGTGCTTGTGACACTTGAGAGATATCAGATGCCGACTGACCTGTTACATAGGTGACGAAGGATACGGCGATGGATGTGCTCGCAAGAGAAACTGTTAATAGCCTTTACATATTTCCACTGGGAATCATGATCAAGAGGAATTAAAACGTACCCACAACGTGGTTTTCTACATATCCTATCTGAATAGAAATGGCTCCTCAATCTCGGAAGCAAATTCCCTTAACGTTCCATCCTCCGTGAATAAAACATCCAGCCACTGTACTTGATTCCCATCCAAGAAACTACCTATGAGAGGATTCCCCAGAATATCGACGTTTTCGTAGCCAATGATTGCAGACTCGCATATCCCAGATCCATTATCCATACTCATTGGTGTTTGGAAAGGTTGGTCTTGAGTTTGTGGGACTTCATTTGGCAGAGAGCTGGGTGTTTGTATAATTGGGGGTGGCCTATCAAAGCTCATGCCATCTAATCTGCCTGTAGCCCGTAGGTTCAACACCCGGGCTTGAATATCTGATAGTCTTTCGCAAAAGTCGACTGCTGGGATGTTTCCGTCGTTCTTCAGAGATCGTAGGACACTTAGTAAAGTCTCTAGATGATCTGAGTTGACAGCTGTGGGTTTCATGACTGCTGACATGATGAGGATCATAGCTGCTGAGAATATGTGATGTGCATCCCAGTATCCAAATGTCGCGATGCTTCCATCTAGGAAGAGACCTTCCACGATACGACTGGATGCTTGTGCAGCGTTGACACAGCTCTCTGCTAAAGCAAGAGTGATAGAAGAGACGTTCTGTCTCGGTGATGCATCTTCCCTCACTTTAGTGCCTAGTTGGAACTGCGTCTTGAACAGGTGAAGCAAAACAGGGCGAGTTGTTTGTATAATGCATTGATTGTACGCGAGATGAAGACTTGCGACAGGTCTAGGAGTACCTCGCTCCTTGACGCGCATATCTGGCTGTAGTTCGTCATGCCATTCTCGAAGCTGTTTCAATATACCGTGGACTTGATGTATATAAAGACCGTTCGTAGCTTTGGGTATACCATAAATATGTGTCACTACGCCAATATTAGCAACATAAAAGAAGATAAAGTCAGAGGAGCAACAAAGCAACAACTTACAGATATTTCCAATGATCTTAGCAAGCTTAATGTTAGTAATGAGATTCTGCGGGTCAAGAAACTCCGCCATCTCATCCTTTGTCAGACCATCCATGCTTGGCATCTCGACGTCAATATCATCGTCTCGGACGGTGATGGGCTGGCCGAGCTTTGATGCTGAGAAGCGGTCGAAGAAGTAAAGCACCCACCACGTTCGCCGTCGACTTTCTCGCTCAACGGGAGAAAGCGTGGTGTGTCGAGATGCAGACCTGTGCATGCCGAGACTTTGGGCGAGACGCATGGCTATTCCGCTGTAGCAGTATGCTGTGCGTATGCGACCTAGTATGTTTGATGCCCAGGCCTGATGGTGGTTCATCGTTAGTTGTCGTCAGCTGGCGAGTGGTAATGAATGAGGCCTACCAGTAATGTGAGAACTTCAACCTGCATCAAAGAAGGTTCCTCATACAGATCCTGGTTCTCTTGCAACAAGTTGACCGACCTAACATAGTAATTCGTCCCCGGCACTCTGTTATTATCACCCACCCCTCTTCTATGCGTATATATCTCCCCCAAAGCCATAAGCGCATAAAACTTACACAGCCATAGCGCCGATGGCACAACTTCCCTTCGATAAACAGCATCAATCTCCTTCATGAACGTAACCTTCAGAAACAACGGATGATAATTCCCTATGAATCTTCGAGCCACGTTAAGAAGCAACTTGACGTGCATCCGCTCTGGAAACTCCGGTCCTTGATCTACTGGCAGTCTACCATATGTGTTCATTCGATGATAGTTTGACAGACCAGCTGTCGATGGGGTATATGTATCGTCGAGGCATGATAGGAGTCTGTTGCTGAAGGCAGCGCATGAAGCTTCGCCGATGAAGCCTGGTTCCGAGGATCGTTCATGGATGGGCTTTTCGGGTTGTCGGTCGAAGAGAGGGTTGAAAAGGTTGCTTTCTTCTTTTGATAGTGATGGAGGGGCATCGATTTGGGTTTCTTGATCATCGAAAGGAGTGAATGTTGGATTGGTTTCTGGAGTTTGATTGTGGGTGGTGATAGCTTGAAGGCGTCTGCTATCTTCTTCGAGCTTCTTGAGATAACTGAACATGATGTTAGTATGTTATGATAACTTCAAGACGATTGAAGAACATGTCAGAATGGCTTGAGAACATTTGAATAGTATTTACCTTTCAGCAATCGGTATCTTCCGCTCCTTATTCGCAGGAAACTCACACTCATCCGCCCTGCCCGTCGACTTACAAGACTGACAAGGCTTATCCCCCGAACACTTAATCTTTTGCGAATGACATCGATGGCAACTACTTTCACAATCAGACCAAATCTCAACACAACTCTCGTCAAGGGTCATCTCACGCAGCAAGCAGTCGTCTCGGTCGTCGTGTGCTCATCCTTGCAAATCGTTGAGTAATGGAATGATCTCAAACTCTGCGGGTCCCCGAGTCTGGGGTAATCGCCTGTATTTGCCGTTGGTGATACCGAGGATGAGATGGTGGAGATGAGTCGGCAAATCCAAAGTTGCCGGTCAGATTGATCGGCTTTGTTGGAGTTGCCGATGATTAAGCAGATTCTGGCCAATGATTTTGTTTGAGGCGTTGATAGCGAATCCACTCCACTTACACATTGAAGACGTGGGAGAGATGTACCCCGGATTGTTTAATATAATACAGCTTCAAGTCGTCCAAGCTTAACCATGTCATCAAATCATCCTCAACTCAATCTCTCTCCCATCATTCACACTTTATTCTCTCCATAAGCCCCATCCTCATTCTCACAATGTCATCTCAAGGCATCCGCATCGCCATTGACCGTGGTGGCACCTTCACAGATGCATGGGCCGAAGTCCCCGGCCGACAAGAGCACATCGTCTTCAAGATCCTCTCAGTGTGTCCTGATGAGTACGATGATGCTCCCACAGAATGCATTCGCCAGATCTTAGAGATCGCCCTAGACACAACAATACCCAAGGGCTCATTACTAGACCTTGCGCCGATTGAGTCCATTCGTATGGGTACCACAGTCGCTACCAATGCCCTTCTCGAAAGAAAGGGTGATCGCGTAGCATTCCTTGCTACAAAAGGGTTCCGAGATGTTCTTCTTATCGGAAACCAAGCTCGACCAGATCTCTTTGATCTTTCGGTCCGTCGCTTGAAGCAACTCTACGAAACTGTCGTGGAGATTGATGAGCGAGTCACCATTGAAGGTGCAAGCGAAGCGCCATCAAATGGCCCAATCGACGTCTCTTCAGATCCAGCGCTTGTAGTTGGTCAGACAGGAGAAGTCGTCAGGATCATGAAGAAACCAGATCTTGATGCTGTCCGCGCCGATCTTGAGGAACTTAAAGCTCAAGGCTTCAAGAACCTGGCCATCGGCCTCATGCACTCATATACATACCCCGACCACGAGCTACAAGTAACAAAACTCGCTGAAGAAATGGGCTTCAAAGTCTCCGCTTCTTCGGTCCTGCAGTCCATGGCCAAGTACGTGCCGCGCAGTCAATCGGCCGTCGCAGACGCTTACCTCACACCCATGACGTTCGCCTACCTAGATGGTTTCCGCAAGAACTTCAAGGGTCAGCTGGAAGACGAGAGTGCTAACAAGCTCCTCATCTGCCAATCTGACGGCGGTTTGACAAGCTGGTCCAAGTTTACTGGCTTGAGGGGTGTTCTCAGTGGTCCTGCTGGCGGTGTTGTCGGTCTATCGAGGACCTGCTACGACGATGCTGATGGCACTCCTGTGTTGGGCTTCGATATGGGCGGTACCAGTACAGATGTCGCGAGATACTCTGGTGCTTTGGAGCATATATTTGAGAACACTTTGGCTGAAGTGACTATCCAAACTCCGCAATTGGACATCAACACAGTCGCTGCAGGCGGTGGCTCAATTCTGTCTTGGGAGAACGGACTTCTGAAGGTCGGTCCCAGCAGCGCTGGTGCGAATCCAGGTCCCGCATGTTACGGCAGAGGCGGTCCCTTGACTGTCACAGACGCCAATTTCCTCCTCGGACGTATCATTCCTGACTTCTTCCCCCGCCGACTTGATCGCGATGTTGTGAGGGAGAAGTTCGCTGCTCTCACAGAGATCGTCAACAAGGAGAAGGAGGGTGGTGAGCCATTCACACCCGAGACTCTGGCCCTCGGCTTCCTTGCAATTGCGAATGCGACAATGACACGACCCATTCGAACACTCAGTGAAGGTCGCGGATACGGCGCTTCCAGCCACAACTTGGGTTCTTTTGGCGGTGCTGGTGGACAACACGCTGTCTTTATCGCTCGAGATCTCGGTATCAAGCGCGCCATCATCCCATGCTACTCCAGTATCTTATCCGCTTACGGCATGGCTCTCGCTGATGTCGTTGTCGAGAACCAAGAACCTTCCGCCATCACCTTCTCCGAAGAAGTCGTCCCCGAGATCAAAGCCCGTCTTGAGTCCCTCTCTTCCAAGGGCGCACTGGGTCTCGAGTCGCAAGGCTTTGATGCTAAGACAACTGAGCATGAGTACTTCCTCAACATGCGCTATCAAGGAAGCGATACCTCCCTCATGATCCCTGTATCTGAGAATGTAGGAGATGCAGGCGTTGCTTTTACTGCTAGACATACTCAAGAGTTCGGCTTCTCTCAATCGCGCAACATCCTCATCGATGACGTTCGTGTTCGAAGTGTCGGCAAGTCTCGCGTTCTCAATATATCCAGTCCCTTCGAGGAGCTAAAGAAGTACCAATCCGATGGTCTTACTCCCGTCCCTACACCAATCTTTTCTCGAAAGATCTTCTTTGAGAATCACGGCTGGACGGAAACTCCTGTTTATGAGCTCAAGTCCATGTCTCCTGGTGTTCACATAACCGGTCCTGCGATGATCATCGACAAGACTCAGACGATCGTGGTTGATCATCTCAGCAAGGGTGTCATTCTTCCCGAGCATGTTATCCTTGAGGTTGACAAGGCTGAGAAGCAGAATGTTGCGACTGAAACTGTCGATCCTGTTACGCTCAGTGTTTTCGGACATCGCTTCATGACTGTCGCTGAGCAGATGGGCCACACCATGGAGAAGACCTCGATTTCTGTCAACATCAAGGAGAGATTAGATTACTCATGCGCCATCTTCTCTGCTGATGGAGGTCTTGTCGCCAATGCGCCTCATGTCCCCAGTCATCTTGGCTCAATGAGCACAGCCATCGCATACCAAGCTCAGCGATACAAGGCTGGTGAATTGAAGCCCGGCGATGTCATCATCAGCAACCATCCTCAAGCCGGTGGCACTCATCTCCCCGACATCACCACCATCACACCCGTGTTCGACGATGAAGAGAACCCCAAGGAGATCATCTTCTTCGTCGCCAACCGCGGTCATCACGCAGATATCGGTGGTATCGTTCCTGGTTCCATGCCTCCCAACTCCACTGAGCTCTGGCAAGAAGGTGCCGCTATCGAGTCCTTCAAGATGATCAACGAGGGTGCCTTTGATGAAGCTGGTCTTATTAAACGTCTCTACGACGAACCCGCTTCGTTCCCTGGCTGTAGCGGTTCTCGTACTCTGACGGAGAACATCGCTGATCTCAAGGCTGCGGTTGCTTCTAACCAGAAGGGCATCGAGTTGATCAGAGCTCTTATTAAGGAGTTCACTTGGCCTGTTGTTCAGCTGTACATGCATGCTATTCAGGACAACGCTGCTCAGTCTGTGCGCGATCTCCTTAAGCAATTTGGCGCGAAGCATGAGGGCGGTGTTCTTGAAGCGACAGAGTATAACGACGATGGTATCCCCTTCAAGCTCAAGGTTACCATCGATAAAGACACTGGGGATGCTGTTTTCGACTTTACAGGCACTGGACCTGAACATTCTGGTAACCTCAATGCACCACCAACATGCTCCTACTCCGTCATCATGGTAAGCCCACAACCTCTTTAGTATTGACCTCCACTGACATCCTCAAGTACTGCCTCCGCTCCATGATCTCCAAAGGAGACATTCCCCTCAACCAAGGCTGCCTCAAGCCCATCAAAGTAATCTGTCCCCGCAACACCATCCTCTCCCCCTCCCCCACCGCCGCCACCGTCGGCTGCACAACCGAAACATCCCAAAAGATCGCCGATCTCGTCCTCCGCGCCTTCAACGCCGCAGCCGNNCGGCTGCGGCGGTACCGACCCCGTCACCGGCGAAGTCACCAAGGGCTTTGGATACTACGAGACCATCTGTGGAGGTGCAGGCGCTGGATTGGGTTGGCATGGTGCTAGTGCTGTTCATACGCACATGACGAACACAAGGATTACGGACCCGGAGATCTTGGAGAAGAGATATCCCGTTATTCTGCATGAGTTCTCTATTAGACGAGGTAGTGGCGGAGATGGGAAGTGGAGGGGTGGTGATGGTTGTGTGAGAGAGATGGAGTTCCGTATGCCTTTGCAGGTCTCTGTTCTTACGGATCGACGGGTTACGGCGCCTTATGGTCTTGAGGGTGGTAAGGAGGGACAGAGGGGGCAGAATATTTGGGTGAGGAAAGATCCTGTCACGGGAGCTATGAGACAGGTTTCGCTTGGCCCGAGAAAGACTTCGCATTTCGCGGCGGGGGATAGGATTATCATTCTGACGCCTGGTGGTGGAGGGTATGGGTTGGTTTCGCAGACGAAGGATGAGGTTGCTGTGCCGGAGAGAGATTCAAGATCGTTTTTGACGAATGGTAGTCTGGGAGTCAGGCATAGTATTGCTACTGGAAACTAGGTAGTTCTGTAAATTGGTGTTAGCAATTGCATATTTCCCTTATTACACTCATCGCTACCTTTGGCTGAACTTGTAACATCACGGTCTTTACATTGACAAGTTCCATCGTATATCTCCCAATGGATTGATCATTCAAGTCCCAATATAAAGATGTGAAATGGCTATGCAATGCTTCATTCTCCTAATGTACACTTGATCAGAGTGGGATAACTATTCGTCTCCTCAACCCCAGCCAATCCTCATCAGTCACTCTCTTCTCTATATCTTAAAACTTATGAATCTTTCCCTTCTCAATACCCAACTCCCCCAAAACACCCCTTCCCCTCTTCCCAACAAGCGCCTCCTCCATCCCCGGCGGTCCACAAACAAAAACCTTCTCCGTCCCCTTCGGAACAACCTCCTCCAAAAACTCTCTATCAACTCTCCCCTTCCTCATCCCCGACCCCTCACTCGGCCTACTAACCGTATACTTGACACTGAACCTCTCCGGAAACTCCTTCACAAACCCATCAAGCTCCTTCTTCAGCAGAACATCCTCTTCTGTGTTTGCGCCAAACACAAGAGTCATGCGGGTTTTGTCGTCGGGGTTGCGCAGGATTCCTTGGGCGAGTTGGTAGATGGGTGTTATGCCGCAGCCGCCGGCGATGAGGGTTATGTGTGAGAAGGCGTTGGGCTTCCATTTGTAGCCGGGGAGGGTGGTGAGGATGAAGAGGGTGTCGCCGGGTTTGAGGGAGTGGAGATAGCCGCTTCCTTTACCGTTGGGATATTTCTTGACCATGAGTTCTACATAGCCGGGTTCATCTACAAGAGTCAGTCATTACTCTAAGGCTGAAGCTTGGTGACTTACCAGAGGGTGAGATGGGAGAGTAAGGTCTCGGTGTAGGAAGCCAAGATCCCTCAGGCCATGTGAACGTCAACAAAGCAGCTATACTCAGTCAGCAGTGATCCAGATACTCTGCGTAGTGAACTCACAAGTCAATGGGAGTCCAGAAATAGCAGTCTCTTGAGGCAGCTTGAACCTCAACCTCTTGGTATCATGTGTCTCATCCTCCGAACTATGCAACGGCAGTTTAACAGACGCGAAACCCCCCTTGAAAATTTTCTGCGCTTCACGAGATTCTGCCGAAGCTGTTCCAAACATCATTTTCGAACAAACCGCAACGCCCATTGCTCCGACCGTGAGGCCTGCGATGAGCGGTGCAGGGCGAGTACGAAGGGGTAAGCGAAGTGCCATTTTGATCTCAAGATAATTAAACAAAACAACGATGAATGAATTGAAGAATTGATTGGCTTGTATTTACAAAAATTTGTTTGCGTCTGTGTGACGTGTTTTGCCCTTTTATACTCATTTGTTTCGCCGGTCTTACGGTCTTCTATACGGACATTCGTACATGTCCGGCGCGCGGTGGCGTGAGACGGTCCCGAACTCTATGAAACGGCGCCGAAGAAGATGCCCCGCCTCCGGGATCTTCAACGGTTTCTACCGTGAATACGCGTTTCAGAAACCATCCGCGGCAGCTTTACAAGGGACTGTAATCCTTCATGTCGATCGTCGGGGTTCCAACCTCCGACTCCCGGTCTTGTACAAAAACATTATCCTTGTTCAATGCTCTATATTACACATACATACATACATAATACAAGTCTGCTTTTCTATCAGACCAAATGTAACTTTTCATCCATGTCCTTCGCTACGTTTATCGACTTGTCTAAAACATCCTTCTCCCCAATTGTCAAAGCACTCGCTTTCGTGCCGACCATGCAACTCATTGCTTTCTTGCTTCCGCCTTTATGCCACGTCTGATCAATCATCCAATGCGTCGGGACTTCGAATTCTGTCTGGTTGACGGCTTTGTTCTTAAGTAGACCGCCGTTGTACCAGAGGAGCTTCTCATTCTGGTCGACGTGTGCGATGACGAAGCTGCAGACGCGGACTTCTTCGTCCTTCTTCTTCTCTTCGTTGGACTCGGCTTTCTTGGGACCTAGCCATCCGACGATGCCGCCGTAGTGATGGGAGAAGGCGTATTTGGATCCTGTGGCTTCGAAACCGATCCACCAGCTCTCTTTGTCGCCGTATGTGATCTTGTAGGTAACTTCATTGCGCACCCGCTCTGAGTTCTGCCATCCGATATGGAGGAGACCTAGCAGGACGTCGAGTCTGGACTTGTCAACGACGACAATACCAGAATCACCCTCTTCAGAGTACCGTTCTGTCCAGACAAGCGACTTTTCTGTCTCTGGGCTGGGGTGCTTGATCTGATCATGCCACCAATCCTGACGATCCGCAAACCCATTCTTCCAGAGCAGCCGATCATGAAACAACAGTACACCCGTTTCTTTAAATCGATCTTGCCGAAGAAGATGTCGTGGATCTTGAAAGAAAACTGCATCTGCATCGAGGAGAATGACCTTCTCAAAGCGACTCGCCAATGCAGCGAACGGTTTTATCGCCCAACCTCCATCAGCAAGCTTCAATGTACTGTCGTCAAAAACACTAAGAACATCGAGCATTTCAATCGTGACTCCATCAGCAGCTTCTTGTATCTTTTTCCGTCCAGCGGCTGATAAATCATCATCTCCTGCGTATACAACTTGAATCGGGAGTTTGGTCTTGTGGACGCGCGTCAATGCTGCGATGAGATGACATGCGAATCGGAGTGTTTTTTCGCCCGTGGGGATCACGATTCCAGCTGGTGCTTTCTCGCCCTTGACACTCTTGCTCTTGTACGAAAGACCAAGACGGTTGTAGATATCAACGAGAGGCGGCGAAACACCTTGTTTCGAATTGAGCCACGGAAACTGCTTTTCCACAATCTGTCCAACGAGTTCCGCTGTCTCGTGAGTATTATCTCGCCCTTCCAATTCCTCAATCCAAGATCGCAACACTTCCGTCCGTTGTCCAAGTTCTCCAAAAATCGCCTTCGGTTCGTCTTTTAAAGGATAATCGAGAAAATATCGTGCGCCAAGATTTATTGCTTCAACACCGCGCAACTTCGAATTGGCTTTTGTCGTGCTCTGAAAATTATTACTGGGTGTGTAGAAAGAAACATCGCGATAGTGATAAAGAACGCCGATGAAGAGCCATATCGACGCAATAGCAGCAGTGATCTGTATTGACTTTGCGCTCAGACGCAGCGACGGCATAGTAAGCATTGTGAAGAAGACATTACAGCAAAAAAGAAAAGAAAAAAGATACGAAGGAAAACAGGCTGGTTTAATGTTTCCACGTCACCTTGAATCAACATTCTCTAGCGCTTGTTGAATTCAAGGGAAGGGATCCGAGACATGGATTTTCTGCTGCATGGACCCATCTTGGAAGCCGTAAAAGCCGCTAGTTCAAGGCACTGATGCGCAGAAATAGCTGATGGATGCACGGCAGAGGCTTGAACTTGGGGCTTTAGTTGGCGCCGCCCACGTTCCGAGCATGCGTAAGTCTTGGCTGCGACGCGTGTGCGTTCCTGCGTGCGGTTAGATAGCGGTTAGATTAGAGAGCTTCAGCAATTGCATGATGTTTCATGACGGCAGGTCGGGCATAGTAGAGGCATTCACTTGTCTTGTCAGTTGAGTAGTCGTAGGTATGTCGTCAGTGAATGGGTGATCTTCATCTAAGCCATCTCGTATTTGAGGCACCGCAATCCTTCAGGATGAACTCCATTCCTGAAGTGACTGAAACCCAATGCCAAGTCTGATTCATCTCATTGACGCGGCATGGAACAGAATCGACTCTTTACTGTATTTACCTGCGTCATTGAGGCACTTCAACAATGAAATGCAGTGCCTGATGTGATGTGATGTTTGCAATGGAGAGCAGGGATGTTTGTCGCATTGTCAGGCACATACACCACCTTATGTGAATGCCGTCCTTCTATGACATGTAATCCATAGGGCTGAATGTTTGATCAAGTCCGCTCTTTTTCGCTTAATAAAGAAGATCGTGACGTGTATGGTCATTGAATAACGCCCAGGATTTGAGCCTCAAATTGACTCCTCAGCCAAGCCTGGGCACAATCAACCCCGCCCCCACCATCCTCATCTGAAAGCTCACTTCGCATCATCATAACATCTCATCAACAACTTCACTCATCACATACTCATCATAGAGACTCATTTCCGACCCCCAAAGCTCACACGTTATGTCTAAAGATCTCGATAAATCCCTGCTTGATCGTCTAAATGCCCTTAGGGGCAACAGCGCAGGCCAGGATAAACCAGTATCAACAGAGTACATTATCCACAACTTCAGTCAGATCTGTCAGCTAATATCGCCTTAGGATCAAAGTTGATCTGATTGAGCGCAAGAAGGCGCCAACTCGAGATGATACTTTAGCAGCTCGTCTCAAGTCCCTACGAGACCGTGGCGATGAACCTTCACCTTCATCTTCACCAGCACCAAAGACAACCCAACCACCATCAAAGGCAACAACCCAGCCAGAAAAGACAGCAAAGAAGGACTCCCCCAAACTCGATGAAGAAGACGACTCCATCTTCCAAACAGACGATCAAACTCTTGAAGAGCTACTGGGCGATGTACAACCCGAAGAAGGATTTAATCCCGAGCCAGATGACGCTCAGGTCAAAGCACTTCTAGAACAACTCGCAGACTCAATACCAAAGGATACAGAAAAAGAAAGGGATAAAAAGAATGAGGACTCAGATGATTCAGATGGAGAAGCTATGAACAAAGATGTCGATGAAGTCATCGCCCGCTTCCGCGACGAAGCAGAAGTCGAAGCAGCCCTCGCAAAGACCAAAACCCCCGATCCAGAATCTGAGTCCGAACCTGAACAAACCACTTCTACAACAGAGGATATCGCTCTCCCAGATGTTCCTTCCGACCTCACCGATATCCCTTCTTCAAAGCGTGCTGGGAGCGCAGACATAGATGACATAACCGCCCGTCTCGCTGCTCTACGCGCACCATCTCCCGATCAAGATTCCCTCGCCCTTCCATCGGTACCTACATCCAAACCATCAGGCCAACCGGTGAATCGTCTAACGTCACGGACGAACTACACCGATGACGATGTGGACAGTTGGTGTACGGTTTGTTTAGAAGATGCAACGGTGCGATGTCCAGGGTGCGACGATGATGTTTACTGTACGCGGTGTTGGTACGAGATGCATCGGGGACCACAAGCTGGTTTCGACGAGAGGAGTCACACGGCTGTACAGTTCACGAAGGATAAGAAGGAGAAGGAGAAGAAGAAGAAGGTAGCGCTGGGAGCATAAACTGATTTCAATTTCAAGCTAGACCTCACTACCATTTGCCATTCCTTTCGTGTTGTAAACAGATACCCAAATATTGCGAAACTAAATTCCGAACCACCGTGTTGCCGTGCCAAATAACAAGATGCCTGCATCAATCTGAACTAACTCATACTATTTTATGCGTGAACTTCAAGCAGCGGATTGTGAGCCGTTGCCGTTGGTAGCAGACTCGTTTCCAGAGCTGCTAGGCTTTCCTCGTACATCCTGCCATGTCGCGCCGAATCGTCGGCCAGTCGAAGCGAGGAGACTCTCCTCTTCATCGGCCTCGGCTTCTTCGTCGATCTGAGAGAGGTTGAGCTTGGGAGTGCGGAAGAGAGCTGTGACGAAGACGATGAGGAAAACACCGAGGAAAGCGAATTGGGCCCAGAAGTCGACGAGACCGAAGAAGGGCCATGTGATTGTGATGCGGTTGAGGAAGGTTGACATGACCGATGGTGTGCAGACATCCTTGGCGTGCTTGTACTTGAGCGCTTCGGAGCAAGCGTGGATCATGTCCTTGTGGTTGCGGCAGTCTGGCTGCTCTCCAGGATGCGCAGGCTCGTTGGCGCAGAATGTCTGAGTTCCGTAGGTAGAGTACTGAGGAGCAACCAACATAGCAATACCGTAGTTGGTGGCCAAGATTATCAGACCCAACATGACGGTCGCAATGAGGAGAGCCTGAGGAGCAGTTCGACCCTTGCGGATCTGGAAGATGCGGACCCATAGGAAGCGAATGCTCACGGTGGCAATACCAGAGATGGAGCTGCTGAAGAAGAAGAGAACCAGAAGAGCCATGAGGATGTAGTCGACGGGGAAGGCCTTGGCGGACTTGACGAAGATGAAGTTCATGGGCTGGAAGACGTGGATCTGGCCAAGGATGTAACCGCACTTTTGCTTGCAAACCGAGTTCTTGGCCTTGTCAATGCCAGTGATGAGCATCGATACGAAGATGACGAGGGACAGAAGGAGGAGGAAGATGCCGCCGAGGAGCTTGATGGGGCGGAAGACGGCGCAGACCTTGAGCCAAGCCTGGTAGATTCTGCTACGGCCTTCACCCTGAGCTTCAGCAGCAAGTCGTTCACGTCGGACAAGTGTTTGTTCTTCTCTAACAAGTGCATCGAGCTCTCGCTGATCCTTTCGGGACATACCCTCTTGTCGGCCAGCATTGCGCATCTCGATCTGTCGCTGGCGTTCGCGGTTCTGTTCAAGCTGAGAAGCGGTTGTCTGGTGGAGCTGAGGAGCCGAGATTGAAGGAGCTGCCTTGATGAACGAGATGGGGAGAAGGGCAAGGCCGGCGCCGGTGTAAACGACGTAGAGGAGTGTGCCCATGGTGAGCAGAAGACCCAGTGCAAAAGTCAATGCCTTTTCGCCATGGTTCTGAGCAACGAGCTTCTTGAAGTAGTCGAGATCCCAGTGCGACTCAGAGCTGTCGCCGGCGGCAGGGACGAAGAAACCAAGTAAGAAGAGAACGACGACGAATGCGACAAAGAAGAGCGTATACTTGGCAGCGGCCAGGAAGCGGCTGCTCAATGTTCGGCCTTCCTCCTCAACCTCGATTTCATCGTACTCCTCATGCCAGAAGTAGGCGAAGGGAATAACGATCAAACAGAGGAGAGCATCGAAGCTATATAGACTGTAGTAGACGACCTTGAGAGTGTAGAGGATACTGTCGATGCGTTCGGGAGTAGCCCAGTCCTTCTTCGCGCCCAGTGTTGCAGAGGCAGTCGCAGAGACGAGGGCAATATCGACAGGGAGTAGCAGAACCGTAGCGAGCAGAGAAGTCAAGCTGATGATGGCGACGATGCTGACAACGGCGGAACGTTCGCGGGGTGTTTGCCAGGTAAATGTTGTGATGATAGCAGCTGCTAAACAGAGAACGACAGCAACGGCATAAGCGACCCAGATCAAACTGGTTTGGACGAGGCCTGCGTGGGCCATTTTGGATTAAATTGAAAGATTGCTGTTGCAAATGATGATCAACAAGCAAAGTCGAGGTTGAATCCGCTAGACCAGGTCGCGACGTGGCTTGGGGATGTTTTTTCTTTTTAAAGTAGCAGATCTCGGGGATTTTGAAGGGAGATCAATCGATCCCATGCCAAGGGTGACGTCGCTAACGAGTCGATCTGTGCAACAACGTGATTGACTTTGATCAATCAGAGAAAGATAAGTTTCGCAGGAAAACAAGATTCAGTGGCTTCGATCAGAAATGGTCAAGCTTGAGCTTGAAGCTGCCGATGTTTTCGTGACGCAATGTATACGCTAGCGTTTGTGCTAAGTGGAGATGCCTCTGCCTCACCCCTGGAACATGAACTAACCTTTATCGATTGGCTAGTCCAGGGTGAGTGATCCCGGAAGACGGAGGTCAATTATCCCGTTTGGAGCTTTGAGCTCTACTCTTTTGGGCCAAACATTCAATAAAGCAACATCGCGAACGACTCGGCCAAACCCAAGAAAGTAACCAATTTCGCGGTTACAAAAGAATGGTCTCGCTGAAATGCAGGCTTACACCGAGCTTGCGGCTCCCTCAGCCGTAACACACTCCTTGACCGTCTCTCTCACTTCAGCTACAGCTACCAATCTCGTTGTCGCAAAGGGTTCCCTACTCCAAATCTTTACAACAAAGGCCATCTCCGCCGAATTCGATCCCGAGAACCAACCTGCCCAGACGGCAAAGCCTGAACCTGAATTTGATCACCGCGCGAACGACGATGATGGGCTCGAGTCTTCGTTCCTCGGCGGCGAGACAATGCTTGTTCGAACGGATCGCACGAACCTCACGAAGCTAGTTCTTGTCGCGGAGCTTCCACTCTCCGGCACCGTGACGGGGTTGGCAAAGGTCAAGACGAAGCACTCGAAATGTGGCTGTGAAGCTCTCCTGATAGCATACAAAGCCGCGAAATTATGTATGGCGGTATGGGATCCTGAGAAGAGCAACCTCGAGACCATTTCCATCCACTACTACGAAAAAGAAGAACTACACGGCGCGCCATGGGAGGTTTCTTTCGACGAATATACCAATTACCTCGAAGCGGATCCCGGCAGTCGATGCGCCGCCTTCCAGTTCGGCTCACGCAACCTCGCGATCCTACCGTTCAGACAAGTGGAAGAAGACTTGGAAATGGATGATTGGGATGAGGATCTCGATGGACCACGACCCGTCAAGGAGTCTACTACAGTCGCCAATGGAGATAGCGACACATTAGAACCAGCGTATACACCATCTTTTGTACTCCGTCTTCCGCTGCTTGATCCCAGTCTGCTTCATCCCGTGCACTTCGCTTTTCTGCATGAGTATAGAGAACCGACTTTTGGTATTCTGTCTTCCAGCCAGGAGCGAGCGCATTCCCTTGGCCAGAAGGATCACTTGACCTACAAGGTGTTTACGTTGGATTTGCAGCAGCGAGCTTCGACGACTATTCTTTCGGTTACCGATCTTCCTCGGGATTTATTCAAGATTATCCCGTTGCCAGCGCCTGTTGGTGGTTCGTTGTTGATCGGAGAGAATGAGCTGATCCATGTCGATCAGTCTGGCAAGTCCAATGGTGTGGCGGTGAACTCAATGGCTCGGCAGATTACTTCGTTCAGCTTGACGGATCAGGCGGATCTTAACCTAAGATTGGAGCACTGTATCATTGAGACACTGTCAATTGAGAACGGCGAGCTCTTGCTCGTTCTCAACGATGGTCGCATTGGAATAGTTACGTTCCAGATTGATGGCAGAACAGTCTCTGGTCTTACCGTCAGGATGGTCGCAGATGAGAACGGCGGCAATCTGATCAAGAGCCGCGCATCGACAGCGTCGAAACTTGGCAAGAATGCGTACTTTGTTGGTAGTGAAGTTGGCGATTCTGTGGTGTTGGGCTGGACGAGAAAGATGGGACAGGAAAAGAGACGAAAGCCGAGACTTATCGATGCGGAGATTGGGTTGGAAATGGATGATTTGGATCTCGAGGATGAGGACGACGAGGACGACGATTTGTACGGCACCGAATCTGCTGCTGCGAAACCGGCTCAGGCTCTCAATGGTGGAGGTAAAGCGGGCGAGTTGACTTTCCGCATTCACGATACCCTACTCAGCATCGCCCCGATCAAGGACCTGACAGCTGGCAAGCTGTCGCTCCATCCTGATAGCGAAGAGGCAACTCTGTCACAAGGCGTCATTTCGGACCTCCATCTCGCGTGCGTCGTCGGCCGTGGAAAAGCCGGTTCACTGGCCATTCTCAACCGCAACATCCAGCCCAAGATCATTGGCAGGTTCGAGTTCCCCGAAGCGAGGGGCTTCTGGACCATGTCTGTCAAGAAGCCAATGCCCAAGGCTCTCGGTGGAAATGTTGGCGTGGGTAATGAGTACGAGACATTTGGACAGCATGACAAGTACATGATAGTCGCTAAGGTCGATCTTGACGGTTATGAGACTTCAGATGTGTATGCTCTTACTGGCGCAGGCTTCGAGACTCTCAAGGATACTGAATTTGATCCCGCGGCTGGGTTCACTGTTGAGGCTGGAACGATGGGCAAGCAGATGAGGATCATCCAAGTCCTCAAATCTGAGGTTCGATCCTACGATGGAGGTGAGTCGCTTGCTTGGACTATGTTTACAGATACTGACAACTCTAGATCTCGGCCTCACTCAGATCCTGCCGATGCTCGATGAGGAAACTGGCGCTGAACCCCGAGTCACCAGCGCCAGCATTGCTGATCCTTACCTCCTACTCATCCGCGACGACAGCAGCCTTATGCTGGCACAGATCGATAGCAACAATGAGCTGGAGGAAGTGGAAAAGATGGACGCTACTCTGCAAAACACAAAGTGGCACTCTGGGTGTCTATATGCTGATACAAAGGGTGCTTTCCAACCGAGCGTCGGCGACAAGGGTGCAGAGACTGAGAAGATCATGATGTTCTTGCTCAGCTCGACTGGCGCGCTCCATGTAAGTTCCAACCCTCCGTATTGGAGATCAGCTACTGACTGAACAGGTTTACGCACTCCCCGATCTCTCCAAGCCCGTTTACGTTGCCGAAGGTCTCAGCTACGTGCCTCCTCACCTTTCAGCAGACTACACACTACGACGTGGTCTAGCAAAAGAGAACCTCCGTGAGATTCTTGTCGCTGACCTCGGCGACACCACCTCTCAATCTCCATACCTCATTGTGAGTTCCTCTTCACCCTCACTGAACTTCTCTAACATGACCAGCTCCGCAACCAAACCGATGACCTCACAATCTACGAACCTATTCGCCATATAAGAGAAGGCGAAACCAGTCTCTCTGCCACCCTCTCCTTCAAAAAGACTTCCAACACAACATTAGCCACAATCCCCATAGAGACAGAACAGGACGACGTCGAACAACCACGCTTCGTCCCTCTCCGACCATGCGCAAACATCAACGGCTACAGCACCGTCTTCCTTCCCGGCCCTTCACCAAGCTTCGTCATAAAGTCCAGCAAGAGCATCCCCCGCGTCATCGGTCTTCAAGGCATCGGCGTCCGCGGTATGAGCACATTCCACACCGAAGGCTGTGATCGCGGCTTCATCTACGCCGATGATAAGGGCATCGCACGAGTAACGCAGCTCCCACCGGACACCAACTTCACCGAGCTTGGCATCTCAGTCAAGAAAGTCCCTCTGGGCGCTGATGTTCGCGGCATCGCATATCATCAACCAACAGGCGCATACATCGCAGGCTGCATGATAAGCGAACCCTTCGAACTCCCCAAAGACGACGACTACCACAAAGAATGGGCCAAGGAAACACCCACCTTCCCACCGACCATGCCCCGCGGCGTTCTCAAGCTCATCAGCCCCGTTAGTTGGACCGTCATCCACGAAGTTGAGCTTGAATCCTGCGAATCCATCGAGTGCATGAAAACTCTCCACCTCGAAGTCTCAGAAGATACAAAAGAGCGTCGCTTCCTCGTCACAGTCGGCACAGCCGTCTCAAAGGGTGAAGACCTCCCCATCCGCGGACGCGTGCACGTCTTCGACATCGTAACCGTCATCCCCGAGCCCGGCAGACCAGAAACCAACAAGCGTCTCAAAGCCATCGCGCGCGAAGACATTCCCCGCGGCGGCGTAACAGCCATTTCAGAGATTGGCACCCAAGGTCTCATGCTCGTGGCGCAAGGGCAAAAGTGCATGGTGCGCGGTCTCAAGGAAGACGGCTCCCTTTTACCTGTTGCGTTCCTCGACATGAGCTGCCACGTATCTACTGCGAGGGAACTCCCGCGTACGGGGCTGTGTCTTATGGCTGATGCGTTTAAGGGCGTTTGGTTTGCGGGATATACGGAGGAGCCGTATACTTTCAAGGTCTTGGGTAAGAGCCATGGCCGGTTACCGGTTCTGGTAGCGGATTTCCTGCCGGATGGTGAAGATCTGGCTATTGTTGCTGCGGATGCGGATGGCGATTTACATATTCTCGACTTCAACCCCGAGCGTGAGTCCTCCCCTTCACATACACTGATTAAGTACTAACAAAACTACAGATCCTAAGTCTCTTCAGGGCCATCTCCTCCTCCACAGAACCTCATTCTCCGTCTCCCCCAATCCCCCCTCAACAACACTCCTCCTC